CAATTGTTGGAAACTGCCTGGACAAGTCCCTGCAGTTTTCTCAAAAAGATACTAAGATTTATCAGTGGCTATCTTTCTTGCTTAATACTTGCTTGATGCTTGTTTGCTTGCTTGCTTGCGTTTGAGTTACTATGGACTCTTGAGAACTGCCTGGATTAGTCTTTAAAGTTTCCTTGCAGAATCCATTAGAGATTTGCCATTATCTTCTTCTTAGAGCTGAGAGAGAGTGACCAGAGGGCTTTGTGCCTAAACCAAAATGAGAAATCATGGTCTCCCAGTTCTACCCTGGTGCTTTAACAACTATGCCAAATTGGCTCTCATAGGTAAGAATATTAGGACATAATTACAGATTATCATTACTCTACTTACATACTGCTTATGTAGACAACGTATCAAACATCTAAATTGTTAAAATAACTCCATATAGAATTAGCATATTCACCAACTGAAACAATCCTCCTTCCAGGTATTGTTATTATTGGCATTGTTTATTATTTAATTATTTATTTAATAAGTAAATTACATAGCCACCCATTTCATATACACGACTTTGGGTGGCTAACAATTAAAAACAAAAAAGGGCAAGACTACCAAACTGTATTGGTTATTATTATTACATTTATAGTCCAACTTTATTTTGTACATCTCAAAGTGATGCACATAATGTTCTTGCCTCCTATTTTCACCACAGTATCCCTGTTCCTGCCTGGGAGGCACAAGTTGCTATGACCGTCAGCGCCCGTAAGGTCATCAAATGCTACTTGAGGGTGCCATGCATGTTCCAGTCAAAATATTCAGTAAAGTCAGTACGCTTTATGCATCAGATAACTGTTTCTAAAGGCAGGGAAATGAAGAATGGGGACTGCAAATCATTTTAATTTCTGAGTCCTCTTCTTTAATATGACAATTGAACTAATGATATACCGTATCTATAATCATGAACCAGAAGGGGGAAAAAAGCAAAGACTTACTGAGTCCTCACTTTAAATAGGATATTAAAAGCAAGGTTTATCAGCTTGATTGTTATATTGAGCACTTTTAGAATTAGCCAGAAACGCTTACTCCACTATACTTTTATTTGGGCATTAGTAAGACTTTCAACCCTCCTTCCTGTGCTCCATGTACATTCTAGAGGGGAAAAGGTAACTTTGTGGGATATAATGTACTGGATTCAACAGGGATTGCTTCCAGGAGATTCTACTGCAATCGTTATTCTACTGAATCGTTACATGCCTTGAAGTGGGATCTATTACAGACGACAGCAGTCTATAATGGCATCTCTCACGAGTCGGATGCCTTCTAAATGGGAAAACTGTAACTCACATACTGTAATGGTATGTGAGAATAATCTTGAGGGATGAGAGAAGAAAAGCTGCCTAGGAGACAAGAGGGGGAAACCTACAGTTACTTAACAGAGAAAGAAACTTAAGAAAGTTTCTTTATGGATGGATCAGGCAGTTATAAGTGGCAGCAGGAGATCTGTAATGGATTTAATCAGTGGTGGGATTCAAATATGTGAACAGCCGGTTCTCTGTGGATGCTGCTTCCAGAAGTCCATTCTGGGCCTGGGCAACAAAAAATTAGCTATTGGTTCTGAATCCCACCACTGGATCTAATGGATCAGGCAGTTAATGGATCAGGCAGTTAAAAGTGGCAGTGGGGGATCTGTACTTTTAGACTTGCAAGATTCTATTAATGTAGCTTTTCAATAAAGTACAATTACAGTTGCTCATCTCTTTGTATTTTCTGCCTGGTTTACTGGGAGGACTAATACAGGTAGTCTTTGATTTACAATAAGGTTCGTTTAGTGACCATTCAAAATTACAATGGCACTGAAAAATGTGACTTATGACCTTTGCAGCATCCCCATGAGCATGTAATCAAAATTCAGGTGTTTGGTAATCTATGCCCTTTGCTGTGTCCCAGGATCATGTGGTCATCTTTTGCGACCTTCTGACCAGCAAAGTCAATGGGGAAGCCAGATTCACTTAACAACTAGGTAACTAACTTATCAATTGTAGTGATTTACTTGTGGCAAGAAAAGTCATAAAATGGGTCAAAAGTCATAAAATGGGTCAAAATTCACTTAATAAATGTCTAACGTAACAAATTGTTGTTGTCTCAGTTGTTGTCGTAAGTCAAGGACTACCTGAATCTATATACATATCTCAATCGAGACCTACAAATTTGGGCTGCAAAACTCCAGAGAACTACTAGAGGGCAGCACAGGGTTACAGAAAATACTGCCATCCAATAATCCTCTGGCATTTTGCAGGAAGGGTATGATAAACCCACATCAATCAAGGTAGCTTAGAGAAAGTAGTTTAATATGCCTCCTTCAAACCTTTTCATATGAAATCAGTTCTGAATCTTTAGCACCTCAGCTCTTATTATTACTATTCTAATGTAACATCTTCAATTAATACATCTCATGTATTATTATTTGAAGAACATTGAAATTTTATTTACTGTTCTCATATACCTGCACGACTATATCTATGTGGAAATAAAGCCTATGTCAGCTCTTCAAGGTAAGCCAGGTCAGGATACAGAAACAGCAAGGGCTTATTGGAAGTCTTGTTGCAGGACAGTGTTTCTCAACCTTGGTAACTTTAAGATGTATGGGCTTCAACTCCCAGAATTCCCCAGCTAGCCTTACTCTCAGTATTTCCTTGCTGGCAAGTGGAATTCTGGGAGTTAAGTTCCACTACATCTTAAAGTTGCCAATGTTGAGAAACAGGTTGTAGATTATGATAACAGAGTCTGGAAAGCCTTCAGAGTCCTCCCTTACACCTTGTAGAATTAAAGTGGGTTATTTGGAGTCTCTTTCTCACACTCCCTGCTTCCTTGAGACTAAGTTATCTTCACTTAGATAATCCCTTATTATCTCCTTATGGTTCTGCTAATCGTTCTTGTATTCCTTTACAAGATCTTTCCTCTACAGCCCACTTCATAAGGCTTATAAAATATACAAACCTGAGCAATCACCATGCTTGACCCAGACCTCATCCACCACCACCATCTCCACCACCTCCACCACCACCACCACCATCACCATCAGTTCTTTTGATCCTCTGGAGCCCAACACATCAGTTCATGGGTATCTTCCAAGTCAATATTCACATGAAGATTTAAAAACCATTAACCATAAAGGCCCTGATTATCAACTCTCCTTTCAGGTTACTCAGAAGATAGGGACAAATGACCATACCTTCTGGTCTCTACCTCAGAAAGGAAAAACAAATGACCAAACATTATGCACATGTTCCCTTACATAAACTTATTTATTCCTTTGATTAATTACTGTACACACAGATGTGATCTGAAGTATGAGATTTTAAACAACTTCCTTTCAGTGTTAGAAAAATGTAAAATAGAGAGTGCAAAATGTTTTGAACTTCATTTTTGCAAACTTCATGCCTATGTTACAACGTATATACATTATATACATACCAAAATGCATGTTTGCATATCATCTATCACCCTGATTTCAAAGACTTTTTAACCATCACCTAAGAAAACACAAGATGTGAAGCAACTCACAGGACCTATATCCCCACCTTATATCTCATAAACAGTGGTTCACTGTGCATGCACGCATACCTTGTCCATCTTTACTTTCTCCTTTTTAGAGCAGCAATGCTCCTCAAATTAGTACAAATAATGTATACTGTACATCAGAGACGGTGAAGCTATATGGACATTTTTGTCCATGTCATACCATAAGCTTTTACTTTTACAAGGGGGTGTAAGAACTTCATGCCATAATCCCACACAACTCTTGATTTTGTGAGCAGCTCTGCACCATTTTCAATCATTATCTCTCTCTCTCTGACACACACACACAAACACACACAGAGGTATATAGACACACACACACACACACACACACACAACTGAACCAAGCCCCACTTCAGAAAAGCTTATTGTTCAGTGTACAGCTCAATTCATATTAAGTTGAAAGCTCATTGAACTGAATGGTATTTATTCCTCAGTTAACAGTACAGAAGCCTAAACAGCCTTAGACAAGCAGCGTTATGTAGCAAAATCGTATTAATAAGCAGAAGAATGGATAGATATATGAAGATAGACAGACTGTTAAATAACAAATGATAATAAATTTCCTGGCATTAACTGGCAGGCCTCTTTGGCTCTTATAAATCACTCTTACAAAGTGTTTTAAGAAAGGAGAGGAAAGGAGGGGAGGGGAGGAGGAGAGGCGCTACTATCTCTTCCCGGATTACTCGCCCTATTCGTAGCTTTTCGTGTACTGTTCCGTGTACCAAGGTCCTCGGACGGACCGCGCTGCCCTTGGCAGTAGAGGAGGCGAGACAGTAAAGGTTGCAACCGATTGGCAAAACTGGAGAGAACGGAACTTCTCAAATCCTTGAAAGGAGCTCAAGGAGAAGTGGGACGGGGTACATTCCGGGCAGCAGCACACAATAATAAACAAACACAGGTACGATTGCCAGCATACCAAACTGGCAATAGCTTTAAAGTCGTCCTTCGCTCCCATCCTGTTAACTCCCCCCCCCATCCCGCACTTTACCGCTACCTCCCCGCCACCACCTTATGTTTAATAAATCAATGCTTTATCACAAAGGGCAAAATCGCAACAAAACCAGCAATAATCGTCAGGGGTACGCATAAACCACGAAACAAAACAAAACTACGCTATCCCTTGAAATGGGCAAAGAGCGAAGCCGAACAGTCGGAGGAGAGGGAGAGAGAGAGAGAGAGAAAGAGAGAGAGAGATCAATAATGCTTGGTTGGCAGCTTTGACCCTTTGCTTTCCACGAAAAAGAACTGACTCCTAAGCAAGTCCCACGGAAGAAGGTCTGGGGTGGGGGGAGTAGAAGCGGAGGAGAGGAAGAGGAGTGTTAGCAGCGCTATCAGCTTCTCCAATTTGTAAAGGGGGGGGGAATAAAAATGCCCCGGGTGCGATGTTGGCTTCCAGATGTGTATGATGATATAAGGTCTGGACTCGGTTTACCTGGTCAGGGCAGAACCGCAGGCGGGTTAATCAGGTGAGTAGCCGGGGACTGAAAAGAAGCCGAAGCCGGTTTTTTTGCTAGGAAAGTCTACAACACCATGCAGGGACATTGCAAAATCTTTACACACGCCTCCTTTCACTGGGCTTCCGCGACCTCAGCCGGAGAAGGGGGGAGATGCTGGTCCGAGGCAGCCCGAGCCCCCCTCCTCCAGCAGCTGCCTGGGGATGGGTAAGCTTCCCTGCAGGATAGGGCCCCTTGAAACAGCTGCTCCGCATCAGGCGGAGCGGCTGGGGAGGGGAAGAAAGGCGGCGGTGGGCATCCGAGGGATTCGCGGGCCTCCCTGTTTCCTTGGTAGAGTCGAGCCGCACTCAGTCTGACCCAGGACGTCACTCTGCCTGTCTGTTTTCTCAATGATAACTTGGCAGGAGAAGGGAAAAGCTGCGATCTTTTCCCTCCTTCGCACTGAGATCATGGCTTGGTAATGTGTATTTTCTCGCATGCCTTTTGAAATATACATACGTGCATGGTTCGGTGTTTTGTTTTGTGTTGCGTTTTAAGATCGCCGTGCATATTCTGGGGACCGTTAGTTTTTTTCTCGACTGTATTTGCTTTAGTTTCCGACTGCTTGCTTGCCTGCCTGTCTGTATCTGTTGTTTCCTTGCTGCTGTCCTTTAAAGGGGCTGGGCAAAGAGAGGAATGCTGGTGGTCCCGGTATAAATTCAATTTTCTTGAAATAAAACAAAAAGGTGGATAATACTGTCAATTTATTTTATCTCTCATTTTTAAAGGCTGTAATTTATAGCCCATAACTATTTCTCAAAGCATCCAGGTTCACAATGGATCCTCCTACAACCCACAGACAGAACCTACACAATTGCAGCCTTCCTCCAGAAACACAGCACCAGTATCCAGAACTGGGTTGTAAATTTCTGTTCCAACATGGCACATCAGAACAGTCTAGTTTGCCCTCATCCATCTCAAAACTACCTCTGTATATTTGCTTTGAGAGGTCCAGCAACTTTATGGGAAGAAGATGGAAAGCAGAAGTAGTTGTGTATCATCTTATCACCGTCTGGCTAACTTCCTCAAGTGATTGTACTGTGTACATTGAAAATCAAAAACACTGTTGTATTAAAAAGCAGAGGAGACAAACTGGAACTTCCTCATGTAAAAATGGATAGAGCACAGAAACTTCCTAGCATACCCTTCTGATTTCACACTGACTGCAAAGAGATAAAATGAGCCTCCCATTCATTCATTCCCCATTGTTATTCTGAGAACTCTAAAATATGTTCAACTGAAAGATTATTGACCTAAACTTACTTCATGTTCAAGAGTATTTGAACCTAGTTCTCTAGTTTTAGTCCAGCATTTAGACACTTCACACTGATTTATATTATGTAGAATATTTTGGCAAAGTGAAGACAACGCTGTAGGAACATTGCCCCCTCCAGAGAAAGGTAGGTCTGTCTACTTGCCTGCAAAAATATTTAATCTGTGGTGCTCCATCCTCACAATGTATGTCTTAGTAGTGATGTCAACTTTAACCATCAGATCCACAAGGCAAAGTTGTACTGACTTGTAACTTACTGGCAAAACTCCATTTAATAAAAGCTTTTATATATTATAACAAGGGATTGAATGGTCATCATGTATGTTACAACCTATAGCAATTGTAATATGATTATCATATATGGTGCAACCTATAGCAATTATAATGTGGGCTTCAGCTAACTCCAACTCCAAAAGCAAATGGGGATGGAGGAGGAGAGAGAAAGAGAGATAAAAGAATAAGTAACAGAATCCAAATACTGAGTATTAAATTATCAACTATCAAATGGGAACTCTTACAGAAGATCCTCTTATATAATACATTTTCAGTGCCTTGAAATCTAGCAGTATTGGAAATACTAATTGTTGGGTATAAAATGCCATTTATTGCAAAGCAAAATTGCTTCATAAATTAAATATAAATCCCAAATATACTACTAAACTCTTGTGTCTGATTATTTGTAACTTTCATTTGGGCAAAATGGTACATTGTAGGGGAACAATTTTTGAATTAAAGTACCTTAAATGGGCTAATTTAAAGAATGCATCCAAAATCTGGGACCAATAATTTCCAAGGGATTGAAATTTGGCAAAGTTGTGGCTGCTTCAGTGCCGCTGTGACACCACACTGCTATGGTCAACCACAGTCACAGAATCATCATTTTGGATGCTTCTTGACGAAGATTAATGGGGAAGCCAACAGGAAGTGGGAAATCACTCTCTCTCCCACTGCTTTTTTGCCCATCCATGGTCATTTGATTTCTCTGTTTAGGTAAGGAAATATCTCTGAAACAATGTTCCAATAGGTCATGGCCTGTCTAATTTCCATTATTATGATGACAGAGAAACATCACTCTTAATTTTTCATTTTTAAACACATAGTTCAGTGGTGGCGAACCTATGGCATGGGTGCCAGAGGTGGCACTCAGAGCCCTCTCTGTGGGCACGCATACTGTCGCCCCAGTCCTAGCCTTCAGCTGGGTTTTATAAAACCTTTTCACTTTAGGCCTCCGCTGCCGTGTGCAAAAAAAAAAAAAGATTCAATCAATCAGTCAATTTCAACTTCTCGCAGAAAAAAAAAGATCTTGCAAAGTTGGAATTGACTGATTGAACTTTTTAGTCTCACCCAGTCTGCCGTTACCACCACAGCCATGCTCACCCAATTGGCCACACCCAGCCAATGGGCCACACCCAGCCAACGGGCCCCACCCAGCCAATGGGCCATACCCACCCAGCACCCAACAATGCATAAGTGGCTTTTGGGTTGCAGTTTGGGCACTCAATCTCTAAAAGGTTCGCCATCACTGACATAGTTTAACATATTGTGAATAACTGACAGGGCAGGAGGGCAGCTGGACATTCAAAAAGAAATTATGGAAATTAGTTTTTCAAAAAGTTTTTCTTACAATGTTAGTTTCTTTATACTTAATATAACAGTTATATTAGCTTGTAACTGCTTGTCACCTTCCTAGTTTAGAACCTGATGTCATCAAAGATTATCCATATACTAAAGTGATAAATTTTGGGATTATTAAAGAAATAAGAGCATATGCAGTGAAATTCAAAGAATTCAGAAGAGTGGGATTTTTTTCTGAATCACAAGAGCTACAGTTATTAAAAATGCATCAGATTTTTAAGTTTTTAGACTGTTTTGAATATTCTTCAGTATCCCAATATACCTGTGAAAACAATAATGAACAACACATATAAATATATAGTTTTATTTAGAGTTCATTTTGACAGTAATGTAGAAATAAATTCCTAATGAGAGTAAATCACCCATTTTAAACATATATCTGTACATTTATAATCTTATCTTCACTGACCTCCACTGGTAGAAGCCAATTATTTGCATCACCTGTGCATAATATTTCATATACTGAAAAGTGAAATAATTTCTATAAGTTCAAATAATTAGCTAACATATTACAAATATTAATAAAGAAATATTGGTTACCTTCAATTCACATGGTTTTATATGCAATAATCAAAAATTTGATGTGAAAGAAATCATAACATTGATAATTTCTTAAACTTCTGTATTGTGAACAATGGTACTTAGGTATTCATGAGTGAGTATATAGAAGACTGGAACCAAAAATTGTAAGAAACCTGTATGTAGTTCTCTTTGTCCAAAGGGGATTTGAATTCATATTTCTATACTTCATTGCTTTAAAACTTAAAATAGTTTCTGTTACAAACCTGAGCATCTGGTGCTTCAGCAAAAAAGAGTTAAGCATCTTGCTGGATATATGTTATATTTTGGCTGCATTTATAGCAACTCTCTGGCCAAAGATTACACAAGATGTTCACATAAATAAAAATGTGAAGAAAACTAATCAGATCCAATTTGCAGATGTGAAGCCAGTACTAAAATTTGCCCATAACAGCGCCCAAATGGAGGAGCCGGGTTGTTGTATGACTTTTCTGGAAAAACAGAAAACCCGTGCTCCTGAAAGACCTTGATGGCTAGGGCGAGGTCTGACTGAGCGTTTCGGAATGATGATGACTGAATTAGTATATCATCTAAATAGCATTGAATTCTGATTGGAATTTGTCTAAGGTGGGCTGCGAGCACTGCCAGTACCTTGTAAATACCCTCGGTGTCGATGAGAGGCCAAATGGTAGGGTTCTGTACTGGTAGTGGGCATAGCTGAATCTGAGGAATTTGCGGTGGTTAGGAAACATGTCTCAGTTAGGTCTATTGAGGTAAGAAAGTCACCTTGCCTGATGCTGGCCAGGATTGATTGAAGTGGTTGCATCTTAAACTTCTTATACCTCAAGTAAGGTTTAGATCTTTCAAGTCTAAGATTGCCCTCCAGCCCCCCAAGTCTTAGGGATGACGAAGAGGTTTGAGTAAAACCTTCGTCCTTCTTGGTCTTGTGTACTGGTTCAATTGCTCGTATTTGTAATAAATGAGCTATGGCCTCTGACATAAAGTCAGCCCTGGACCTGCTCGTTGGGATAGGGCAAGAGCGGAATTTGTCAGGTGGTTGAGAACAAAATTCTAGTCTCAAACCTTGCGTGACAGTGTCTAACACCCATGCATCTGTAGTGATGGCTGTCCAAGTGCTGGAATAAGGGGCCAGCCGGCATCTGTAGTGGTGACTGCCCAAGTGCTGGAATAAGGGGCCAGCTGGCTTCCTATGGGAAGTGAGACTGTGAGAACACTTGCCTCGTTTAGAGGAACGGCCCCTCGGCCTTGAAGGGGCCGCTTGGCCTGGATCTGTGGTCTGCTTCTGCATGCTGAACGATCCTGCTGTCGTTCTTGTCTCTGAAAGGAATAGAGGGATGCCTGGGCCCAGTCCCAGGATGGAGCTGGTCGAAAGGCAGCCTCCTGTAACTGCTCTGTGACATGAGTTAACCAGAGTTTTACGTTTGTCCTTACCTTCAGTTAAGTATGGTTCTAGTGCCTTACCAAAGAGATGTCCACCTGTGTAAGGTTTAGAGGCCAGACGCCACTTGGTCTTGGTGTCTGCTCGCCAATTCCTGGGCCAAAGGAGCCTTCGTGCTGAGATGTCTGCAGCGATGGTCTGGCAGTGTATCTAGCCATGTGCAGAGAAGCGTTGGCTAGGTACTGGGATGTAGCCACTAACTTACCCAGATTTTGGTGAGCTCTGAGCTGGTCTGGAGGGATCCTGTCCTGGAGCTCACGTAACCCAAGGGCTGAAGCCCTGGCAAAGAAGGTCATGGACGTTGCCGCCTTTGTTGCCCAGGCTGATGCCAGATGGGAACTACGCAATGCGGAGTCAATCTTTTTATCCTCCGCCCTAAGTGCCTCATTTATGTCCCCAGGGATGTTAGCATTGGGAAACAATGAGTTCAAGGCTCATCAATCTCAGGAATCTCCAATAGGGAGGCCAGAGAACGGGCAACATTGAATAATGTTCCCTCTACTGCACCGGGGCTTAAGAAGGATCCTAAGTTCTCCCATTGTTCTTGAACTATATTCAGAAAAAGGGGAGGGCAGGGAATATTGTTCTGCGAGACTGAGGGCTCGGTGTATATGGCGTGGGGACCCTTGGATGTTGTAGGTGGGGTCTCCTGTTCTTGGGGGAGGTTTGCAGTAGTGCAGGCCCTGAGTAGCAGGGAATTAAAGAATGAATGGTCAAAGAGACCGACAGGAGGGGTGGGGTCAGAGGGAGTGATGCCCTCGTCCTCAAACAAAATCAGGCCAGATTGTTCAGCCCCTGTAGATTCCAAATCCGATGAGGGATCCTCCATCAAATCTGGAGATTGTGGATGATACGTGGCCTGGGGGGGGGTGGCTGTGGGGTGTTGGAGGCCATAAACTGAGCCACAGCCTGGGCTATCGTGGACTGAAGGAGGTCTGGGTTCAAGGCCTGGTTCTCAGTGGGGGTGAAGCCCTGCTGCAGTGGGGGTGAACGTGGCCTGGGGTCCTGGGGTGTCCTGGTTGGTTGTGCCTCTCCCTGGGTCCACTCTTGTGGTTAAATCTAATTGGGGAATTCCCCTGGGGGAAGACCAGGCCCCTGGGGCTGAGGCACAATGTGAGGAAAGGGGTTCAAAAATGGACCTTCCCATCGTGCCTGTCAGATCTGGGGAGGCCGCTCTCAGTCTTTGGGACTCCTCCTCCCTCTGTGGCTCCCTGCTTGGCCGGGCTCGCTTGGTGGTGTTCTTTCCACTTGCCTCTGTTTGGCGTTTCCTCTTGGCCGGCTCGCTGATTTTCTCTGCCATGATGAGTTGCTCTGGGCTCAACCTTGGCAAAACGCCCCCCCCCTCAGCGCTGTAACTCACCAAGGGAGCCTGCAGAGATGATTCAGCCCTTGAGGGGGGTGGGCGGGGAATTAATGGGCACCGCGTCCCTTGGGAGCGAAGAGGCCCTCCCCGGTTCAACGCTGTAATCTCGAAGCCTCTGTCACCAGTGATGAACACTGCCTTCAGGAGAAACTCCAGGCAGTCTGGGCCTCAGTCACACACAAAATGGCCGCCGTGAGTCAATTCAAAATGGCGGCCACAGAGTTCGCGCCAAAAAAATGGCAGTTAGAAGAAGGCCTTGAGGCCTGAGGCCTAAGCTGCGATGAGCCCTCGTTCCGAGGAATCGCTTGGGCTCCTAACGCAGCGAATGGATTCCAAAAAAAAAAAAGGCCATTAGAAGAAGAAGGCCTTGAGGCTTGTGGCCTAAGCTGCGATGAGCTCTCATTCCGAGGAATCGCTTGGACTCCTAACGCAGCGAATGGATTCCAAACAAAAAAGGCCATTAGAAGAAGGCCTTGAGGCCTATGGCCTAAGCTGCAATGAGCTCTCGTTCCGAGGAATCGCTTGGGCTCCTAACGCAGCGAATGGATTACAATTAGGTGAGCTGAGAGAGGCTGAGGCAGGCCGAGGCCTAGTAAGGCCTCCAGGCTCTGAAAATTGGATCGGTGCCAAAAACTTTCTCCTGCTGCTGGGGCAGTCTGCTGAGGCCGAGGGACCTAGAAAAGGCTCCCTCCAGGCCTGATGAGCTTCATCGTCCCTTGCAGAGCCCCCCAGTCAATTGGCAAGCTTACCCCTGCTTCTAAGGCCTCCAGGCTCTGGTTAGAAGAATGGAGCCTCTGATGCAGAGGAACGGCCCCTGGTAGGAGATTTCTCTTGCTTCTGGGAATCCAATTTTCAAGCTGATTGTGAAGCTGAAAGGCTCTTAAAGGGAGAAAGGGAAAGTTCCCCCCCCCCCAAAGGGAGGTTTTGTCAGCCTGTCAGCCTGCTAGGCTACAGGTTGGGATGAAATAAAATAGGAATACACATTCTTCTGCTCCAGGAGCGAAGAAAAAACGCGTCTTAGAGCAAAGAGACTAAGTCTAAAACTGGGGTGCAGTTGGCACAGAGGGGGCGGTACTAAATTTCAGACTTAGTCTAATTGGAGCAGATAGATTAAGACAACCCATCCGTTGGTTCTCCATCCAATCATGCTGGAGAATAGAATATAGACAGCTGCATATGAATGGTAAATATGTGGGGATAGAATATATGTATGTCATACAGGTATAAGCAGAAATGCTCATGTGCCTTTGGACTAAAATTGATGTTTTCTAAAAAAATATATTAATGTCAGAGGCAAAATGTGCATTGCAGTAGACAAGAATGCAAGAAAACCAGTTTAAACAAACACCTTTAATATTTAAGTGGCCTTGATGAACATAGTTTCTCAAAGGTCAGTCCTCATTGCTCTGTTTATTTCCTTGAAATGTATCCACATTTCCTTTCATTAAGTCAGGGCCTGGTTTTAGAATATTCACTGAGAATTATACTTTTAAGACATCAACTATATTGGTCAGTTTAAAAAATACAGGCTCTATTTGCAATTTGTACACTGTTTCATTAGAAATTCAGATATCCAACCAAAGGATTGAGCAGGGATTGTTTCAGTGAGGAACTTCAAAGCAATGTGAACAAAGGGTTTAGAGAAGAATGCCAATGGAACACAGTATAAGATAAAATTCTGACAAAGTGGAATAAGACTGCTGAAATAGAGAAGTATTGCCATAGTGAACAAGAATTTGAATAAGATCTGTGTCCAGCTCACGCAGAACATTGCTTTATGGGAACATTATAAAACTGGAAGTCTGATTCAGTCTAGAGTCCAAATCATTGGCCACAATTTAAAGCACAGTAGAACCTTTATTAAAAGCATGCTGATGTACTTTACACAGTAACCAGACTTTAGTAGGAATTATATATTTCCTGAAGATGTTAAACGAATCACTAGAATTAAATTCATTCTGAAAAGGAATGGTATAAAAAGGGAGGGAAAACCCTCGCATGCCACCTGTAATGCATATTTAAGTTAGAGTAGAGATTATCTTACAGAAGATAAGTACATTTTTATACAGTTATCAAGCATTCCCCAAGCAGTGTATTTTCTTCATGGTTAAAGAATGCATAACAGAAATCAGCATTTTTTTGCAGCGCCACTGAAAATTCTTCAGATTTACTGCAGTATACTTTCAACCCCTTAGTCCCTAACTGTAAGTTGATAGTGCTGATTCCAATGCAGATGCTTATTTGGGGAAATCCTGAATAGCTTTATAGATATTACTACTGTAGTTAGCATCTAACAATGAAGATAAGAACAGACTATTGCTAATGGCTGGCAATGTTAACAAAAAAAAAAATCACTTAAGAGGTATGTGAATATGGGCTTGCAGAAGAAGATAACTGAAATCTGAAACATACAGTAATTATAAATCTCTCAAATCCATTTATATTAATTTCTTCATTACAGTTTCCTGTGTTCAGAAAGAAGTTCATGCACAATGAGCTAATCATCAGAAGGACCAAATAATGGACAAAGCCAGATGACACCCAATGGAAGAATGGATTTACTGAGACAAATGCTTACTGTTTCTCAGAATTAGTAGGTAAGCTTTATTACTTTTTAACACACACACATACCCTCCAAAAATTGAACACCTTAATTAGTTGAATAAGAGAAAATGAACAAAAATTGAAAAAGCTTAAGAATGATACTTATAGTAATGATAATATAAATATATCTAAGCACAATCTCAAAAAGAAATTAGACAGCTGTGCAGCCTGTATATTTTAACTGAAAATAACTCATGAGCCTTGCAAACTCTTAAAAAGCATGTATGTCATTAAATAGAATGTAGAAAGTAAAATCAAGTAATATTGAAGAGTCTGTGGAAATGATATGAGGCAAATACTTTACAATGGATGTACCAAACAAGATTATCAAAATATAAAAAAATGGGGCAAATATTCAAATAATTAAAATAGGAAATAAATAAATAAAAGGAAATATAATGACTTTAAATATATGTTGGCTACACCAATGTGTAGCATTGTTTAAAACTTTAATTAGCAAATTTTTCACCACAAGAAGTGAAGTCTTTATTCGATTTTCAAGCACATACAAATCCATTGTGGTTACACATGAGAACTGACAGAAATCCCTGCGTGCAAGGGATTTACATTGTTTTATTGCAGTGGAGAATAAGATCCATGTTATACCAGTGCCTGACTATAATAAAAAGTTGAAATACAGTGGGGTGCCTATATAAAGACATACTAGCTGTAGAGACGATATAAAATTTCTCAGTTCCTCTAGCCTTGCTTGTTCTGACAAGCAGTGGCTTTGCAAATCTTAAGCAGATGTGCCTGTCAGTTCTGTTATCTAAAAGCCTTTTATCTTTGGATGCCATTGTCTTAATTTAGGCTTGACTGCGTACAGTGGATAACATTGTGCCATTTCTCTGCAGATGCTCTACTGGGTTTACAAAAATATTGGATTATGACACTTTGACTCTGAACTGACTTCAAAATAACTGATATGTAAGTGGCTACGAAGGGTAGAGTTAAGATAAAGATTACATACTTCAGAATATCATGGACAAAACATGAAAAATAGATGTAAGAAAGAATACATATATTAAATAATACGTAATGCATACTTCTAACAGGAGAGCGCAAACCAAAGCAAAATATAGAGATGTTAAGAAATACATATGTTATATATTGTCTTCATGCCAAATTTCAATAGTTCCAAGAAAAAGTACATTACCTTCCATATGTCCACAAATTCATTATCCACACATATAAGTGAGCCTGCATTAAAATGATTTGACTATATGGAGAAATCCTGTTCAGGATTCTAGTCACTTACCTTTTCTAAAATATGGTTTAATTGCCTTTCCCATTGTTCACTTTCCTCGAACTCATTTTTTTTTATTCTCACAAAGCACGCTCAATCATTCATCACTCTTTTTCTTATTCCCCTTTTTCACATTTTAATTCTGTTAGGTGAAAAATCTTCTAAGTCTGTGGAGTCTATCTGTCTGTCTATCTATCTATCTATCTATCTATCTATCTATCTATCTATCTATCTATCTATCTATCTATCTATCTATGTAGGTCTTTGGTTGTTCGGGTTTTCTTCCGCATAAAATTGGAAGTGTCTTGGCGACGTTTTGATGAAGTCCCATTCGTCATCTTCAGGCTGGTGTTTTCAGCTTCGTGCTTCGAGCTGCTCGAAGCACGAAGCTGAAAACACCAGCCTGAAGATGACGAATGGGACTTCGTCGAAACATCGCCAAGACACTTCCAATTTTACGTGGGAGAAAACCCGAACAACCAAAGACCTACATACAAACACCCACGAAAACCTCAGAAAACAACTCTCTCTCTCTCTCTCTCTCTTTTATTTCCCACTTTTATTATTTTTACAAATAACTAGAGGTGATGAACATACCCAACACACCACACTTTCTTCCTGTTTTTCCCACAACAGCCACCCTGTGAGGGTCTCCTTCTTTCTAGCCTCTGGTGTGCCTCATCCACTTGACCAACCTGACTGTCATAATCTCACTATAATCATCTTACTATAATCAGTGTTTATGTACTTTTGTGATGTCTTCAAGAACAGAAAGGTACCTGGAACAACGAGTAATATGTACATATAAATATTGAATTAAAATGTGTCACACAGATGCATTAAAACTCAAGACAGGAAGTGATATTGTGCTCTTTGCCATTCATTTAATTTCATTTAGAAATTAAATGTTAGGGAGAAAAATCATGATTAATGGCTAGTAAACTTTCATTATAGGGTTTTGATAATATTCCACATAAAGTAAAATGGTGGGTTCTACTCTACGCTGAAAGAGAAACCAGAAGCTAGTGCTTAGTGTTCTAGCTATAAAAATTATTTTCAGTATAAAAGAAGAAATATTTAGGTGTGAACTTTGCATATCTTGATCAAGCTACATCATTCCTATTGGCAACAATTTCTCCCCTCAGAGATGAATCATTGATGCTGCACCACTTTCTCAAAGTGATATGGGAGGGAGGAGAGTTATTCTGTTGGACGTAAATGGTGCCTTTAAAGATAAGGAATAACTAAATACATATTTTCAGGGACCACATTGCTTCTGTTATTAGCAAAAGGGTTATGGGTCTTCAAAAGGCATCATGGTGATCTATTTGATTTGTATTGAAAGGATGGCCAGAAATGCTTGTGAGATGTCCTCCTTCAAGTGCTTTTTTTTTTTTTTTTTGCGTTAGCCATGGTGGACCTTCACTTTGTGTATGGGGGGGAGGGGAATTTGTTTCTTTTGATCAGGTAGCAAAATATCTTGAGCCAGACCTGTCAGAAATAACACGTCATTACTTTTGGAGATCTTTTTGTCATTGGTAGAGGCTGAAAATTATCATTCTTCCTTAGCATTGTTATAGACTGAAGGTCATGTACTTTTTCCCAGAAAGCTCAATGGCACCTGAACACTTCCTTTGAAATTAGCAAGATATCTTTCCAAACAAACGTGTCTCACCTTGATGCATTATAATTTACAGACTTAGTGAACATGATGGAAATATAATTTGGTGTATATGACATGGATTCTTTAATTGTATTTTCTAATATTTTCCTATCCAAGTAAAATCTTATGAGAAAACAATGGAAAATGAAGGAGAAACAGAAGCTATCTACTTGCCTGGTTTCCTTACTTCTAGGACTAAATAGACAGTTCTGTCCTCTATACCTGCCATCTTCAAATAAAGATGCAACCAAAAATAATAGGTGGAAAGTTTAAAAAGACATACAAATGTTACAAAGCATGGCAGCCTTTTTCAAGCAACATGGCCAAGAGTCACTTAGGAAAGCCAGAAAAAAAAAACCACATTTTTATAGCATATGCAATCCATGTCCAAGGCAAGTAGAGTAACCCTATTCAGAAAAGCACTCATACTTTTTTTCTGTGATTCAACTTCCTTCCTTCTCTATCCTGGTTTTCTATGCCTTTCTCACTACACAACAAACTTTCTATTATCATTGTTTAAGCTCAGTCCTCACTGAGCTTCTTTCTCCTTTTAGAGTTTTATTTATTTAAAACTCTAAAAATTTAAAAAGTGCTTGCAGCATGTTTTTCTTCTGATATTACCAGCCTGTGCACATGGCTTCTTAAATAAGGTTTAAATTCCCCATATATCTGCAAAAACATATTGTTTAGCCCTTAACTTCTCAGGTAGGAAATAACTAGGATCTCTACCATAGGTAGATGCTAGGAGCTAGTGTTATGCTGTATTTTTTCTAATTGTCCCATCCTTTATAGAAACCTTCCTTAAGGTTTGAATGGTACCTATCCCTCCTAGCACTTAAGAAAATGGGGGGTTGGACTACTAGAAAACCTCCAAGGTCCCTTCCAGCTCTATTCTGAAGTTAAAAAGTGCTCTTCCATAGAGACAGCTTTGAGGGAGACCACTTCACAAGGATTCTAGTAATGCTACTTTATTGTTATAGGGAACAATGACTGAATCTTGAAAACCTGTCAGAGTTTCTCTCTGTTTCCCTTTAAAGCAAAAAGAATCAGGATGGACTTATTTTGAACTTCTTTCCTAGGGCTTTCCACTTTCCCAGGACTGAATTATTGTTTTACCTGCTTAATGGCTTCCAAGGTCATCTCTATATTTCTATATACATAAGAGTCTTAGATTTGTAAAGATTGTTGCCATATGCTGAGCTGGGTTGTGGTTTTCTTGTTTTAATGAAATGATAGGACTTGTTTTGGAATGTGTCCAAATATTAAAATTATAAATAACTAAGTAAATTAAAATGCAAAATGCTACCCAATATAAGTTGGTGTGCAATGAGGCAAGAGATTAAAATCCTAACTCACATACCAACCTCAGAAGGATGGAAGGCTGAGTCAACCTCGAGCTGTCAAGATCAAACTGCTGGCAGTCAGTGGAGTTAGACTGCAATACAGCATTCTAACTACTGCATCACCATGGCTCAGTATTACACTTTTTTAGTATTTGTCTATTCTTGGAATACAGTTTAAATTGTGGTCCCCGCATTTTGGAAGAGTTCTGAATGAAATTACAAGACCAGTATCTGTGGGAAGGGAAGCGGGGATAGTGTCAACATTGAATCACTATGAGGCCTGCTAGTTTCTATCACTAATCAACTTGCCATAGAAAAGGGGGGAGGGGGAGGAAGAGCAGGAAGGAAATGGACCATGAGCGCTTGCAGTAATGCCAAGGTCACTAACATGGGTGCTTGATGGAGAAGTGGACCATTCTCATAACAAACTGAAGGTCTGCAATTGGACAATGTGAGCACCTGGTGGATGCGAGCAAAGGAAGCTATTGTTTAACTAAGCTTTTTTTTTTTTTGCTGGTAAACCAGAGCTGGTTTTGCTTCTTCAGTTCTGAGATATGTATTCAATAAAGTTTTTTTCTTTTATGGCACTCCAAAGCCTTGAAGATTCCTTTTTTGGGGTTTGCTAGTCAAACAGCTGACAGGTAGCTTATAAAAAAAAGGTTTGTAAGAGGATTAGAACATTCTGCATGATGTAGCAAAACTATCTAGAAAAGTGTTTATCCCGATCAATGAAATGAACAATAAGTGATTCAGAACAACTAAAAGGAAGAATTTTACATAGTATACAATATAGTAATACTATGAGATTTACTAAAAGATGCAATATTGGTCACCAATTTCAATCAAATTGGGAAATATATGCAGTGCTTCTTTTGTAAAAAAAAAAAAAAAAAAAAAAAAAAGGTGCCGGAACTCATACACATTATACAACCCGCCTTACCTATCCTACAAGGTTCCATCCAAAAAAGGTGCCGGAACTCTGTTCTGGGCATTCTATGACAAAAAAAGTCCTGAATACATGTATCAGAGTGTCTTAAGACTTTGTAGCTATATGTTAGCTTCAGTATCAAAAGGCAATATGCTTCTGAATAATATCAATTTTTATCAATCCAGTATGATAGCATGCTATAATTTTGCTGCTATACTTCCCACATGTTATTAGCTAGGCACTACTAGATTTCTTAATAGATCAGTAAGGGGTTTGTTGTTTATATACAACAATTGTTTAACCTTGGGAGAATTTCTTTCTCCATTTTTTATTACCGAAATGGTGACGGTATAACCGGAGGTTGATTTTTAGAGGTGGACTTTAACAACCATTTGCTGTTAGGATGATGGTGAAAAAGTAATTCTATAACCAATCCTTGTATTTATGACCTTTGCAGGTCTGTGAAGAAAAGGAAAGCTGATAATAAACAGAGCTGTGGGTTCACTTAGTGACTTAATGACACTTAGTATAACAACTGAGTTGCTAGTCCCAACTGTGGTAGTTAAAAAGGACTATCTGTATATGGATACCATGCATTTTTCTCTGTCCTTGTTCTGCTTGTTCAAAAGAAATTCTAGGGCTCAGGATTTCTTATGTGTAATATCTTTTGCATAGATTTACTTGGTGTCTCACAGTGTTCAAATAAAAAAGGAAAGTACATTTTGTAAGGCTGAATCTTGCCTAACCTTGCTGTAGAAAGATGCAAGGAAGAAAGCATGGAAAGATTCAAAGGACTGGGAAATGGATAAAGAGCTGGATTCAATAAGGTAGCAAAAGAACAACACCACTGAATTTTAAATGGATATTACGACATTCCTTCTTTATTTCTCTTTCTGATTTTTCCATCAAATGGAAAGCTAAAACTAGTAGCAACCATACAACTATTTTAGTCTTAGAGTAGCTACATAAATAAAGCTGAAGAACATAGTTTGAATTTCTAAGCCAAATCCATTTTAAAATATGTTTTTAAAATTGCAGCAAGTCTGTTGATTCCATTTTTTATATTTTTTTATTTAACATTTTTAAAATACAAAATGTGATTTAGAATGAATATGAACTTGTATTAGTTATCATCCATAGACAGCTGTTAGTTTTGTCTTGGGAGAAATACCCATGAAAATACCACTCAGATGCTGCATGCGCAAGGAACACAAACAAGTTCAAACTTTCCCTTCAGTTAGAATTTCTTTTGAGAAAAGAAATGGATTTTGTTAATTTATGTGACTAGGCTTGTTTCTGCTAAGTTAAATTGCCTTCTATCCAGTTAAGGAACTATTTAAGGAGAAATAATTTATGCCTTGCTATGATTGCTCAACTAGAGTAGTTGTGGGTTTGGTTTACCAGTTTCCTTCATAAACCAAAACCATAAAATTCCCCGAGCTTAAGCATCCCATACTGTATGTAGGTGGCAGTTATCTGGAGGACCTGTAGATAGCCATAAAATCACATAGAAAATTCCAATCTTTGCTGACGTTAGTTGGTCATCTGAATTTTTGTAGTCCAGATATGTTGGCTTAACATTCCTATCGCACTTTATTTTTTATCTGTTAAAATTGTATGCATCTCCATCTCATTATCCAAACTTTAATCCTTGGGTTGAATTTTTTTGTGATCCTATTACTTTTGATGATTTCTTTATATACCTAAATGCAAAAAATATGAATTTATATTGGGATAAAATATTACACGTCCAAATTATTGAGCTCAATACTTCTTTGTAATTCTATATCTAAAATAGTTGGCCTTTGATATATGTATCTGTCTAGCTACCTAGCTATGATAGTTAACAGTCTAAATTATATTTAGGTGGCAACCCCTGAATTCTGCTAAGCTCTTGCATACAAGTAGTAACACTCTTGAGTCTTTACTGCCATAATTAACTTTCTATAGTGAAGGATATCCTTGACCAGGAAGTTCTTCCAACTCATTTGAGCAAGTGATTTACATGCAGATGCAACACCTACCACCGTCTGTAGTGAAAAGCAATCTGTTTCTATTTTTAATATGCAAGAGTTGTTTAGACTATTAAAAGCTTCTTTCCAAAAGATATTTCCATTTTTTTGAAACCAAATAAAGCTTAGAGAAAATGTGATAGATATAAGGAAAGAAGTAATAAAAAGAAACCTTTCTCCTATTACAGAGATACATACAACTCTAAAAGGATAATCCTATTCAACAATGAAGATAACTGGAGATGAAATATATGGGTGGATCTTTTGCTGCTAGAAAAAAAAAATGTTTGCTATATCTTATTGAAGTTCCCATTGATGAAAAGAAGCTGCAACTAATGCAGAAGTATTCAGAACACAGCGATTCAAAAAGAACAATTTCTTTGGCTGCCCTGCAAAACTCAGTTGAAGGGGTGCTGGTGCCAAAATCTGGAAAACAGAGTACAGGGGTACTGGTGCCAAAATTTGCAAAACAGAGTACAGGAAATAATTATTAAGACATAAATATCCCCACCCCTCACCAGAAGCAGTACAAACAGAAATCTCATATACTTTATTTTGTTCAGGATAAATTTGAAGATGATTTTTTTCATGGTGCTAGGCTAAAGTATAACAAGCAAAGAATCAGATGTCTGAAACTGTCTGATATGCTTGAGTTAAATCTTTAGGGCCTTCTTGACATGAAACATGTGCTTTTTCTTACAGACTTAAGGGGATGCAGACAAGAAGTGGATTAAACAGCTCTTATGTTCTGTGGATTAATGTAAAAGCAGAATCTAACTATAATATTGTAGAACCTGTATGAAAAATATACAATTCCCCTACAGCCAACAAATTTCCTATCTGAGTTCCTGTAAACTGGTGATCTTAGCATTAAAAATAAAATGCAATGTTATAGAGGGTAACACTACGAAAAATAGGGTAAAAAAAGTGAGCTAATGCTTATGTTTTGCTTCCAATGAAGGCAAAAATAAAACTGAAAGCAGGGGAAATATAGGATGAGAAGAGGAAAGAAATAATAGCATGTCATAGAGAGTTACAAATGACATGTCAATAAAACAAATTAAGTAAATATTATAATGTTGATGCAAAGACCTGTAATATCATCATGGTTTCTAGTTGAAGCTATATAATATGAACGTCAAAATTTATTTTATTGTAAGTCTAGAAATATCTTTAGAAACTATGTTAAGGAGAAGAAGAAGGTATTCATAAGTCTGATTCTATCCTGTCATATTTTATATCAAACAATGTCCCAAAGTTGCTTTTTCAAAAGGCAACTGAACTTTTTTTGTTTTTGTATGAAGATGTTTCGCTTCTCATCCAAGCGTAGAACCACCCAACACTGAAGAAGCTTCTTGGATGAGAAGCAAAATGTGTCCAAGCGAAACCAAAGAAATTCCAGTTGCTTTTTGAAAAAGCACCTTTGAAACAACCACAATCTAGATGATTGAGAATCTCCACAGACATACAAATATGAAACAATGATTTTCTATTACATCTTTTAATTGTAACATTAACGCACATATCATTATTAGAAAAAAATACTATTCCGATTGATTATGATTATGTGCTGTGAACTTGTGTTGACTTTTAGCAGCAAGTAAGCATCTGCATTGGGCAGCAGTGATATAGGAAGATGCTGGAGGCAAATAAGAATGATAAAGACTATAAAGGCAAAAGTAGAATCCAGAGATATTTTTATTCTGCTTTTATCTGAATGAAATATTAACCTTATTATTTTCATTAATCTGAATTTTCATTAATCTGAACCTTAACATATTTCAGAAAATCAGTGGGACTGATTTTGATTTACTATGGCTAAGATTGTGTCCAAACTCTGGTTAAAAGCTGTGGAGGATTAAAATTGCATAAAAAAGTTTCCAAAAGTTTGCCGCATTTACTATGCACAAAGGAACCATCTAACAGCAAATCACGATCTAAGAACAAGCCAGGTAGTTGCTTCATCTCACTTCCTTAGCAGTGTTGTCATTGCTAGAGAGCAAACAGCACAAAGAAGCAATTTTAACTATGCCGTGAAGATTGAGTAAAAAGGCACAAAGCACTGGCAACCAAGATGTGAAAGGAAAATGTAGACTGTTGTGCAGATTAAAACAATGAGATAATAAGTTGAATGCAGCAACAATTATATTATGCTATACATAGCAAAGTGATGTAATATAGACAATTTATTGCTGTCACCTTTGTAATGTCTCATTCCTGCTTTGCTTTAGTCGGTTTATAGATTATATGGGATAAAAATATAATTTCAACCCTGGAGAATTTTCGAATAAATGACCTCATACTTGGAATGTCTAACTGGAAACGGAATGGTCCCAGTCCCCAGAATCAATTAGGTGTTTGATATATCTCACCTTCTGTTACACTGTCCAAAAAATTAAATAACGATCCATAATGAATTACACAGATGGAAACTTCTTTGGGGTCAGTGGGACTAACAATAATCATTTTCTATTATAATAAAGTGTAAAAATAAAAATAATAGCATTACTTTCTATTATGTATATAAACATACCTAGTTTAGATTAGCCATACTGTATACTTTTTGGGGAGGGGGGCTCACTAGTCTGTGTGTTAAAGAACAGAAACATAGAAACATCAATAAAGGGGAAGATTTATGGTTCAGGGTTGAAATAAGGGGTCCTTGGTGTGCTCTGAGCTTGTTTAGTGACCATTTGGGCTGAAAAAAGTGAATTATGACCATTTTTCACACGTAACAACTGTTGCAGCATCCCCCTGGTCACGTGATCAAAATTCAGTTATTTGGCAACTGACTCGTGTTCATGATGGCTTCTGTGTCCCGACATCTTGTGATCCCCTTTTGTGACCTTCTGACAAGCAAAGTCAATGGGAAAGCCAGGTACACTTAACAATCGTGTTACTTACTTAATGACTGCAATGGTTCACTTAATAACTGTGGCAAGAAAGGTTGTAAAATGGAGCAAAACTCACTGAGCAACAGAAATTTTGGCTTAATTTTGGCTTAAGTCAAGGACTACCTGTACTACACAAAAAAATATTTGACTAACTTTAAAGCAGGGCTCTTCAAACTTGGCCCTTTTATGACTTGTGGACTTCAACTCCCAGAATTCCTCAGCCAGGCACACTGGCTGAGGAATTCTGGGAGTTGAAGTCCACAAGTCATAAAAGGGCCAAGTTTGAAGAGCCCTGCTTTAAAAGTCCTTATGATTACTGTTTCCTGATGAACCACATTTTTCTCTGTTTATCCAAAGTGATGGAAATAAAATAGATACAATCTGCAACTCTCCTACCACGTGGCATATTGAATTTTGTACATCTGTGTGTGTGTTTGTGCAAACGTGTGTGTTGCAGGGCCTCAATTCAGACATATAAAACTTTTCTTTTAAAAAAACCTGAAATTTCAGGTTTCCCAAAATAAAAAGACAGTGTCACTTTATTCATTTGTTGGGCTTTGAAGGCACATTGCCAAATATAAAAAGTGCATGCGTAATTGTAAAATGCCTCAAATAAACATCAGAGAACAGTTTTATATATTGCTCATTTGTGATATTTGATTGAAACCATTCCTGTGTTCAGTTCATGATTGTTGAGTTAATAAAGGCAGACAAAACTGCAACAAGTATGCTTCTTTATTATTGACATTGCTTGCTATAGAAACCTCTAAATAATTCACTTGATTTTGTCAAAAAGTTAGTTCACTATTTTTTGTCTAGTACAGGTAGTCCTTGACATAAGCCAAAATTAAGCCAAAATTTCTGTTGTTTTGTTTTTGTGTAGGGGTTGATGGGGGATGGGAGGGAGGATATTCATCTTACTTTTGTGTCTTGGGACATAAAATAAGGAATGAGGAGTCCTGTTTTACATTCCAGTCGATCCTTATGATTGAACTATTTTTTTTTTAAAATGAGCTTCTTTTGAAAAAATTCACAACCAAATGTTCCACATCCCTTATGGTAAGCCATCAATAAGTTCTAAATAAAGTTTTGTATACCACCCTTCAAAACATAGTTACATAAATGTAAAAATAGCAGCTGGAAAAATGAGAGACCTTTGCACTTATTTCTTCTAAGTGTTACTATCTCCCAAACACTTTTTCCTGATTAAATGAAGAATACCTTATGATAATCCTACTAAATGTCTCTTCACCTATGTCTTTTCATTTGAACCCACTGGATTATATGTGCATCACCACACATCTTACAACATCCATTAGACCTAATTAGATATCTTAATAATTATACAAAGTTATAGTTGTAAATGTGAGAGGACATAGTGCTGTAACATTCTGTAATTTTAAAAGTCTGAAAAGCCCAGTATTCCAAACCCAAATTAACTCAGAATGGTCACACTAAAAAGTTTATAAACATGTAGAAATGGATTGTTGATGATAGAATTACTGTAATTCTGTTCTTTTGATTCAATTGTTAAAGGTCTTAAAACGCACAAATGAAAATCACCCTTAGAAACTGCCATTTGCCTTGGAAGTGATTAGAAAGAGGATGGCTTTTTAGGAATTGATTTTAAAAAGGAATAACCAAAGGAGATTATGGGAGGAGGAGGAGGAGGAGGAGGAGGAGGAGTTGTTGTTAGAAAGGACAAGGCTTTCAAGAAGAGTGATGAATTTCTGCAGGGAAATCAAAGTTTTAGAAAGTAGATCAAAAGGGATAGAGGAAATGGAGAAGAATTGGCAAAGAGTATTTCAAACTTGTATGTAAAATAAGAACTAACAATTGAAAAGTGAAAGATTTTGTTTTGGAGGTAACCTTATGTAGGGAATCACAGAGATGACTTTGGCAAAGATATGTAGAGAGATTGCTGTCAGCCCTTTCAGGAAGGCCAGTTCAGGAAACAAACACCACAAGAAATACAGGAATTCTATTGATATAGACTTTCTCATTTGCTCCATTTTATATCAAAGAGAGTTAAAGTAAAATCATTTTAATTTTTTTTAATGCCTTCTTCCCTTCCCAGGCTTAATTCATATTTTGTTAACAGTCTCCGTATACATTCTCCAAGGTTATCTCTTTGTTTCTTTACACTTTATTACAAATTAAAGTTCGCCTGCTCAATACACAATATAGGTATAATAAAATTGCCCCCAATAACAGGATTACACATAATCACTAAAAATTGGGGTTGGTTGGGCTAGTTCCACATTTCAGCAAGCAATGAATACATATACCTTCCAACAGTATTTTCCTGTTGTCCAATGTCATGTGGTAACATATTTCAATGGAGAGAACTCACATTTGTCTATAAGTCATTACCATTAATTCAAGAAGAAACCAGAAATAGTTCAAAAGTTCGCAAAGATACTTAAAAGTAAAAAAAAGTATATTTATTTCTTTTAAAAGCACAGAAGATGTATACTGAAAACCTTTCAGTTTCATTTATCAAACTAAGCCATTTTTGTGACTTTGTTTTGGAAGCTGACAAAAGAATGGAGGCTTAATGGGTACGTGTCACCCACCCCATAATATTTGCCTGCTACAATTCTCGACTAACCCTTCATTCGCCTTTTGGCAAATCTGAAATAGTATTAGATGCTCGGTAGAACGCAGTACTTAGAACAAAAATTACTACAATTTGAACAAATATTGGAGCACATTGATTTTCTGTTGCTAAGTAAGAATTAAGGGACAATTCTTAGCTTATATTTGGGATGGAGGATTGAAAAAAAAAATCTTCTTCCAAATGGAGTCTAAAGGCCTTTTCCTCTGCTAAATTACACTGCTATCCACCTATTCTTCAGCTGGCAGAAAAATGTACTGGCATGAAATTTGCTGTTCCCACTTCTGATCACTATCCTGCTTCTATTTACAGTTACTGCCAGTCACCTGACTTTCTTCCAAGGTGACAAAGCCTAACAGATCTTACACACCTTGAGACTGCCCTTGTACGCTGTTGGAACAAAGGAGAAAATATTATTTTAACACCAGTCCAGCTAAGGACAATTTAGACCATTGGCTGCCGACAAGATAAAAGGCAAACTCACTGGGTCAAATCAGAAAACAGGCTTTGCCAGGACATGTTTGTGCCATGTTTAGGTAGGTGCAAGTGGGGACATGACCTCAAAGTCTTGTTCCTTGCCTGTGTACTCTAAGCTGGTGTTTTCTTTTTTCTTTGGGAAGAAACTATGCAATTTGCTTTATTAATTTTCCTTGTTTGCTCTCACCTTCAGCTTTTTATTGATAAAACAGAGAACACCATTAACTATTCTATATATTTCAAGCGACACGCTTACCTTCCATCCTGTCTCCTTCAGCTTAGAGAAAAGACCACTCACAAATCCACCTTGTTTTAGCATCCTACTAAAATGTAAAACTTAAAGTTTATAATGCATGGTCCTGACAGCTAGATTTCTATACCGCAGGAAAGACATTATTACCAATCGTATCAAATGCCCTCACCTTACTTAATGGCAGTGCATCGCTAAGGGGAAAAAAAAAAAAAACCTATTGGGCAGAGAACTATTTCATTTGATAACGAGTCTTTCTAATAAGGTCTCCCCGTTATCTTCTCTGTGATCCGCCGGGTTCCTTGCGCTACAATCTTAAAAAGATTAGCGAAATGCAAGTTTTGCTCGACGGCCGCCCTCGCGTCCTCCCCACCCGCGAGAGAGGAGAGACGAGGGCTCGCAGGGGGCCGCGGGGAAGCTGAAAGGCTGCCTGCCTGCTCGCTCGCTTGGCCGCCGCTCACGGAAAAGGAAGCTTTTCCGTCGCCTATAAATGGCCCTGGATCGAAGTCACTTTTTCCACTGGAGGCAGCAAAGTTCGAGCGGAGCCCCAGCAAGTCGCTGCTGCTATTTTCTGGGACTGCGCTGGCCCCTCCGCTATGCGCCCAGGCACGGAGACCCCCCCTCCCTCCTCCTCCTCCTCCTCCCTCGCGGAATGCCCATCTCGGGAGCTGCTGCCCGGACCTCGAGCCGGAGACCGTGCAAGGGCGGGCAGAGAAGCACCCGGGCGCCCCTGGCGCTCCTCCGCTCTTAAGAACCGCACTGGGATCCCGGGTCTCCAGCCGCTGCTGCCTGGGCGGGCTCAAGCGGGCTGCTAGCCCGGCTCCTTCGCTAACAAAAAGCCACCCCCGTCCCTTCTCCCCCAGTATAGGGCTCGCTGGCTGGCAGTTGATTGCCATCCCACGCCCGTCTCGACCAAAGCCGCCTTTCCCGGCCCCTGCAAGATTTGCACCCTGTCCGCTCTTTCCCAAGCGCAAACCTGCAATATGCACGAGCAAGACCGGCCGGGTGTAATCTGTGAGCATCTCCACACGCCCTCTCGCCTAGAAAGAGGCGCTTTAATGCCCCTTCTTCCTTTTTAAAGAAATCGGCCTGGTTCCTTAGCTGAAATGTTTGCATGCCCATAGCTCCCATCCCGCGGCTGCTTTCTTCGAAGACTCTGATGTTGT